ATAATGCCATTTCCCATATTGTCTTTATTGTAATATGTTATCAAATTATATATTTAGTAAAATATAGTACTTTTAAAAAAATTTTTGCATCTCTCAGGAAACAGGTAAGGTTGAGGAATCTTTTGGAAGTATATTATGCATTTACATTTTCTTATGACTTGCTTGTCAATGTTCTTTGTCCAACATTTTATTTTAAACATAAAATTTTAAGAATTTTCTTGAATCTTTTGAATTCGGCACTATTATTTATGGAAATGACACCTTTCTTTTCTTAATGTTTCTTTTATATGGTAGGTAAAAACAAACAAACAAATATATGTGTATAAATATATGTATATATATTTGCTTTTTATAGAGTCTCTATACATATATTTTTCTCTAATCCTTAAAACAGCCATCAAAGGACAGATACATTTATTTATATGCCATCAGTGTGTGTCTGGTACTAGTATTACAGCTTTCAAATTGTAGCTGAAGAAACAATTAATTGGAGTTACTCGTTGAAGTTTACACAGGAAGTGAATTACAGAGCTGAATTTGAACCCAGGTCTGTCTATCTCCAAAATCCATGTCCTTATCACTGCAACATGCAGCCTTCTCTTAAATAAAGAGAAAGTTCAAAGTGCCAATGGCTTTTTTGTTGCCACTATTAACTGTATGCTAAAAGAGAATAACAAGCCATTTATATATAAATGTTGCAGTTATCTCACCATAGGAATCATGGAATGCTACAGTCAAGAAACAGTCATGCAATCTCAAGCATTCAGAGCCAAATTCCATCCTCCTGTCAATGTCCAAAGATCACACCTAGTCTGTCCCACCCATATTGTGCACTTTCTCTTTCTGTGGACTCAGAATCTTACTAACTACTATGCCAGTTCCTTTCCCTCTCATACTAACTATAGTTTTAATGAAAAAATTCCAGAGAGTTATCTATAAAAGGTCAAGGTCCAAGAGCCTGGACTGATTCACGAAACATTCAATCACAGTTTCCACTGTAGGCCATGATCTGTATCCATTTAGATGAGCCACAGGAGTCAGAGAGTTGAGGAATCCCGTTTGGCAGAATGGCAGTAAGTAGCCCCTCAAAATGCTTTGCATGCAATCATTATTATCTTAAATTCTGGAAACAGAGAGTGAGTAAAAGAGATGTTCTTCCCATTATCCTTATTATCTCCATAGAAGCAATTTGTGCTGGGTTGTCATTTTATAAAACTATGCATTGCAAATGCATCTGGCCACTGCTATGGTTCCTCCATTATGTAATGGCAGCTGACCTCCGCTCATACTGACATCCCTCTAACACATTCTGTCCACCTCATTAACACAGGCTTACGATGATATACTTACAGCCTCTCTGGTTGTTTGGGTCTATCCAGATAATTATTCCTAGTTAAGAGTTTTATCTCTTCCCTGAAGTTGTTGCTACCAGTAGGAGTACTTAATAGTTTTGACAAAAAAGAAAAGTCAACTACATCATTCTTGGCTCTACAGAGCAAACAAAAATAACATGGCTTAGCTCTGTTAAGATCTATTGAATAACGGTATCCAGGCGCTAAGGGCTTTTTAACTGTGAATCAATGCCAGGCAACATTCTAGACTCTAGGACACAGCAGTGAACAAAACAGCAATTAAAAAATCCCTACTCTCGTGGAGCTTACATTCTAGAGGGAAATATATGTCTACCTCATTTTATCATGCTTCACTTTATTGTGCTTTGCGGACATTCCATTTTTTACAAATTGAAGTTTTGTGGCAGCCCTGCATCAAGCAAGTCTATCATTTTTCCAACAGTATTTGCTCACTTCATGCCTCTGTGTCCCATTTTGGTAATTCTCACAATATTTTAAACATTTTTGTATTTGCTATGGTGACCTGTGATCAGTGATCTTTGACATTACTATTGTAATTGTTTTGGGGCACCACAAACCACGCCCATATAAGGCAGCAAATTTAATCAATAAATGTGTGTGTTTTGATTTCTCCACCAACTAGCTATTTACCCATCTCTTCCCCTCTCCTGGGGCTTCCCTACTCCCTGAGACACAACAATATTAAAACTAGGACAATTAATAACCCCACAATGGCCTCTAAGTGTTAAAGTAAAAGGAAGGGTCACACATCTCTCCCTTTAAATCAAAAGTTGGAAATGATTAAGCTTAGTGAGAAAGGCATGTTGAAAACCAAGATGGGCTGAAAGATAGGCCTCTTGCAGCAGTTAGGATAATAAGAAAGTGAAACAGCCTTATTGCTGATATGGAGAAAGTTTTAGTGGTCTGGATAGAAGATCAAACCAGCTACAACATTCCCTTAAGCCAAAGCATAATCCAGAGCAAGGTCCTAACTCTTCAATTCTATGAAGGCGAGTGAGATGAGGAAGCTGCAGAAGAAAAGTTTGAAGCTAGCAGAGGTTGGCTCATGGGGGTTAAGAAGAGAAGGTGTCTCTATAACATAAAAGTGCAAGGTGAAGCAGCAAGTGCTGATGTAGAGCCTGCTGCAAGTTACCCAGAAGATCTAGCTAAGATCATTAATAAAGGTGGCTACACTAAAAAACAGATCTTCAGTGTTGAAAAGGCAGCTTTCTATTAGAAGAAGATGCCATCTAGGACTTTCATAGCTAGAGAGGAGAAATCAATGCCTGATTTCAAAGCTTCAAATGACAGAATGACCCTCTTGCTAGGGGCTAAGGCAGCTGGTGACTTTAAGTTGCAGCCAATGCTCATTTACCAGGGCCCTTAAGAATTATACTGAATCTACTCTGTCTGTGCTCTACAAATGGAACAAGAAAGACTGGATGACAGCACATTTGCTAACTACATGGTTTACTGAATACTTTAAGCCTACTGTTGAGAAATACTACTTAGAAAAAAGATTCCTTTCAAAATACTACTGCTCATTGAAAATGCACCTGGTCACCCAAGAAATCTGATGGAGATACACAACGAGATTAATGTTGTTTTCATGCCTGCTAATATAATAGCCATTCTGTAGCCCATGGATCAAGGAGTAATTTTGACTTCCAAGTCTTATTATTTAAGAAATACATTCTGTAAAGCTATAGCTGCCATAAATAATGATTCCTCTGAGGGATCTGAGCAGAGTCATTTGAAAACCGTATGGAAAGAATTCATCCTTCTAGATGCCATTAAGTACAGTCATGATTCATGGGAAGAGGTCAAAATATCAACGTTAACAGCAGTTGAAAGAAGTTGGTTCCAACCCTCATGGATGACTCTGAGGGGTTCAAGACTTCAGTGGAGGAAGTCATTGCAGATGTGGTGGAAATAGCAAGAGGACTAGATATGGAGCCTGAATTTGTGACTTGAATTGCTGCAATCTCATGAGAAAATTTTAATGCATGAAGAGTTGCTTCTTATGAATGAGTAAAGGAAGTTGTTTCTTGAAATGGAATCTACTCTTGGTGAAGACGCTATGAAGACTGCTGAAATAGCAATAAAGGATTTAGAATATTACATAAATTTAGTTGATAGAGCAGCAGAAGGGTTTGAGAGGATTGACTCCAATTTTGAAAAAAGTTCTACTGTGGGTAAAATGCTATCAAACAGCATTGCCTGCTACAGGGAAATCACTCATGCAAAGAAGAGTCAATTGATGTGGCCAACATAATTGTTGTCTTATTTGAAGAAACTGCCACGGCCACTCCAGCCTTCAGCAACGAGCACCCTGATCAGTCAGCAGCTATCAACATGGAGGCCAGACCCTCCATCAGCAAAAGATTATGACTCCCTGAAGGCTCAGATTAGGGTTAGCATTTTTTAGCAATAAATTATTTTAAAATTATGTACATTGTTTTTTAGACATAATGCTACTGCACACTTAATGGACTACAGAATAGTGTAAACATAACATTTACGTACATTGGGAAACCAAAAAGTCGTGTGACTTGCTTTATTGTCGTGGCCGAGAACCAAACCCGCAGTATCTCTAAGGTATGCCTGTAAATGTGTCCATTAAAAAAAATATGGCTCCCAGCTCTGTCATTTACAAGCTCTAAGTGCTTAGAATTTACATAAGCTGAAAATTACATAAACTGTCATTTTTCTCATAAGGGTAGTGATTATAGCTAGGGTGGTTATAAAGGTGAAAAGAGATAATATAAGTAAAGTGTTTTAGCACAAGGCCTAGTACATAATAAGCCCTAAATATAAATGAGATTTGTTATTATTATTTTACTACATTTCTGTTCACTCCTATTTTCAGAGACATTATACACACTATTTTTAAAATTTAATTTATATACTCTCAACCTAATCAGTCAGATGTCCACAGTCTAATTCTCTGTTGTATTATATCTGACAAAATTCTAACCATGTCCCCCCATATTATCTCTGCTCAACCACACTGCATTTTCTTTATTTTGTTTAAGTCCTTGTTACCTTAAAATGGATCAGATATATCCTCCCAAATCCAATTTGTTCAGCTCAAAGTTAACTTCCCTATGTAGGTCCCACAAGAGAAGGATGTTGATATCATGGGTGATTCATGGAGATGGAAGCAGTCATGAGAATCAACAGCACTGTGGAAGCTCTTGCAGACAAACAGACAGTCAAATGCATCATAAGGCAGGGTGCTAAGGGACCAGTCAGCTCAGAAACATTGACTCTCTGTCACATGCTGCTTAGAAGAAATGAATGGCAAAAAAAAAGGGACAATAACAAAAAGCTCTTATTTAAATCACTATGCAAGTGAGGATGGGGGAGACATGGGGTGGTCTTAGAGCATTCAAGTAGAATGAATAGATCTGGAGTTCTAGTCTTCCCTCTGTCCCCAGCCCGATGCATGACACTGAAAAAGTCAAATACCCACTCCATGCTCATCTGTAAAATCAGGCCAGGCCATCTTATGCTTCCTTGTTGCTTCTATATTGCTGTTAATCTCTGCTGCATAGTTATTTTTGAATGAGAAGCCTATAAGAATAGAATTTTTTAAAGATAATTTCCTTCCTTCTTCATCAATAATATGGAGAAAATAAGACCTACCTGACAGGATTGCTGTGAAGGTCTAATTGGAAAGTACATGCAGATCACTTAGCATGATGTCTGGGATGTTGTAGGTTACCAAAATGTGATGTTCCATCACGTCATGATAATCCTGACAATGTAAAATAATCAAATTAAAAAATGACCTGTCTTTAAAATGAACTACCAAAAGAGAGAAGAAAGTAACAAATATAGAAACAAAATTAAAATATCTGGGTGGTGAGATTATGAATATTGTGGGTTCATTTTTCTATTTGAGAGACAACATAAGCTAATGGTTTGACTCATGGCTTTTCTTGGCACTGAAACCAGCTCTTTCACCAACTGTGGGACTTTTAAACAAGTTTTATAACCTCCCTGTAAATGAAGATGTAATAATACTTACTTATCAAGAAATGCGTTTATATTTGTGAAGCACATGTTAAGCACTATTTAAGTGTTTGTTAAATAAAATACTTTCCAAATCTGCAATCATGGACATGTGCACTCCTATAATGGAAAGGAAGGGATATGCTTTTATAAAGCAATGATTATTGTCCCTAATTGAGTAATTTTTTTCCATGCCAGGCCCTGTTCAAAGAACTTTATGTGGATCAACTAATCCTCATAATAATCCTGTGAGATGGGTACAATTATCATCAGAGGTGAGAAACATCCAGAGGGAGACAGTCCTGGTCTCTTCAGTCTCACCAAGTCACTAGGGCGAATCTGCTCATCCCTGTGTGCTCCCCTAGTTTGCTGGCTTCTGCAGATGGTATACCTTGGATCTCATTTGCCCAGAAGCTGAGCTGCTCCGGGTGAACTGGGACAAAACTGGACTAGTCTCACCTTGTCCTTTTCTCTTCCTGGCACCTGCTTAGGGATCCAGTTCACATGCTGCTCTTGCTTCTCCTCTTATCAAAACTAACTCTCTTTTCAGGTTCTCATGGAAGACAAAGTGATAGGCTGATGGTCCAAAGACTTGCTTTGAGTCTTGGTTCTATCTCAAATGCTGTATAGCTTTGAATAAGTTACTGGATGGCTTAGAGTGTGAAATTCATATGTAAATTTCAGTCCACTGTGTTTCTGAGAATTTTTGTCAGAGAGAAAGATGGAGATTGTTACCCATTAAGACACTGAATGCATGTTGTCTCAGAAAACTGAAAGGCGGACAATGTTTAAAATACCAACATCCACTCTAGACTTTGTGCTAGACTTGGAATGGCAAAGACTGCCCGAAATTACGAACCTCCATTTCCCATGGTGTTATTATACACCAATATAGGGAAATGTATTTCTGAGGGTCACAAAAGGTTCTAAAATTCAAGGTTAAAGTTTTTGACCCATTGATTTCCTGTAGTTGGATGCAGTGATTTCCATTAGGCAGAGTACCGAGTGATTTTCACTGCGATGAAAGCCTGCCATTGAAATTTTCAGTGTCTTCTGAATATTTGCTGCTCCCAAAGAACAAGAGGAAGAGAAGCCACCTATAGAGTGATGGTTGTTTGCTTTCAGTTACTTTTATTACCCAGAATAATCCCAATTTGAAAGTCTCCAGCCAGAGGAATATCAAATGGGATAATAAAATGCTTGCAACATTTCTTTTCTGCTTTTCAGAAATTGCACATTTTGACACTATTTAGAGCAATATTAGTGTTTTCAGAAAAATGCTACTAGGTGGCATGCATGTAATTTGGCCTACCACTTTAAAAATTACTCTAACTTATAGTTTAGGACCTGTTAAATTTATGGCCTGACTTTTTAAAAAAGGAATGAATAAAAAGTTTCAGTGGAAAACTACAAATTTATTTTTACCCTAAGCATTTTAAACTTGAGAAAGTAAAAGAATGTATTTGTTATTTTGACCTTTTACAGACCTATTTGTCTTGCAGGTAGCATTAGTAATTCTTCAACATCTACTAAAATTGCTAGCAGTTATGTGTATGAAGAAACTATTTCTCAGCCATTTCTTTGCCCAGAGCCTTTATGAAGGAGTCATTCTAATGTTCTGGTTCAAAACATTAACATCAATTGGAATAACTGTTTTCAGTATCACCAAGTAAATATCCACTCAGTATAAAAGAGGAATGGCTGCCTTTTGTTGAACAACTCACCAGATCTTCAGCTGGAAGAGCTGCATGTATTATCTATAAATTCACAACAACTGGGCTTCCCTGGTGGCACCGTGGTTAAGAATCCGCCTGCCAACGCAGGGGACACAAGTTCGAGCCCTGGTCCGGGAAGATCCCACATGCCGTGGAGCAACTGGGCCCGTGCGCCACAACTACTGAGCCTGCACTCTAGAGCCTGTGAGCCACAACTACTGAGCCTGCACGCCACAGTTCCTGAAGCCCGGGCTCCTGAAGCCCGTGCTCTGCAACAAGAGAAGCCACTGCAGTGAGATGCCGGTGCACCACAAGGAAGAGTAGCCCCTGCTCACCTCAACTACAGAAAGCCCGCGCACAGCAACAAAGACCCAACGCAGCCAAAAATAAATAAACTAAAAAAAAAAAAAAATTCACAACAACTCTGCGATGCAGATATCATTACCTTCACTTCACAGATAAGAAAGTTGAGGATTCGAGGATCTAAGATGCTTGATTGAGATCACACAGCTAGCAAGTTACAGAGCCTGGAGTAAAAACCAGGTTTGTCTTCTTTCTGATTCACCATAACTTACCAAGCTTTTTTAGAATCAAAAAGACAGCCAGGCAAAAAAACGATTGATATGAAATTTTCCAATGCAAAGCTGATTCCACTTATAAGTTTCTCTAGTTAGAGGGAGCTGGCAGAGTCGAGTTAAAGTAATTTGGGCTTTGAAATCTACCAGACCTAGATTCAAAATCAGCTCTACCACTTGACAAGTACATGGCTTTGGAGAAGTTACTTAATATCCACCATATCACCTCACAAAGTTGGGAAGATTAAATAAGATAAATCTCATAAGTGCTGAACACATTACTTGTACCTCGTATGGACTTAATAAGTAGTATGTCTCTTTAGCCTATTACTATTTTTTAAAAGAACGTGATTCTAAACTGCCTAAAAATATAAGTATTCAAAAGTAGTTGTCTCATAACTTCTCAAGGCCACAATTATTGTATTTCTTTTGTTTTGTCACTTATCAGCAGGAACATAAAGCACCTTCTTACAGGGGATCTGGAGGATTTGTAAGAGGACCCGCTTCCCCTGACACGTGTGAGAAGGAGCAGTTCATTTTTTATACCATCAGAAAAATAGAGACCACTTTCCTTCCTCAGATGCACAAGGTTTCTATTATGTGAAAGCAGATTGAATGCCGGTCTGACAAGACTTGGTATGGGGTCTAATAGGAACCGAAATGGAACTGGGACTCAACATGATTTATCACAGTAATTTTTATAAATACCAAAATGGAAAACTTTTTGGTGCTGGAATGAAAAAGTGAATTGACTGTCCGATCAAGGATCGGTCAGTACTTTTCATAGGTCATTTGAACGGAACCAAAGGGATGTTAAAAGGACTTGAAATACTGATGTCTGTAGCTACTAAGTGAAATGTGACCAACACCCATACATATAATGGGACTGGGCAGCAGTTGCTTTGAATGGTGGACAAAGTTGCTTTGCTAAAAGATGGTGGAGAACTGTATTTACTGGGTCTAGGAAGAAGTGACAATTGATTTAATCTAAGGAGTTCATGAGAGGGAAAGGTTGGCAGAGCTGAAGGCATATGCAGGCCAAGACCAAAGTGCTATCTGTAGGGAGGGCTCTCCAGGGAGAAGTCACTGCTCTCTCCCAAGCAGAAAAGCCCATGGAAAATCTGTGCCATGCAGAATTTTTTTTCACTCTTTTCCCACTATACTTTCTGACCAATTTGCAATGTTCTGCTGTTCTGCTGAAGTCTTGGGATAGAATTTTTAATCTTCTCAGTTCCATACTTTTGTCATAATTAAGTTTTGAAATAACATTGTTCTCATGTGTATCCTACTGGAATAGTCTTTCACTCATGGCTGCTGACTTTAAGAAACTCGATGACACTAGGAAGTGAAATCTATCTGCATTCTATATAGGCATTTATGTATTTATACAGTGTCTATGAAGCAGCATAAATGCAGTGTTCTTCTAGCCAGCTGCTCTGTCAGAATGGTGATGATACATAGCTCTTCCAAATGCCTTACAGTTTATAGGGACTTTTCATACAAGGAAAGAAGAGGGAGAATATTTTACTGGGTACATATGATGTGTGGGATTCTATCCTAAATGTTTTATTCAACCCTCTTCATCACCTGTAAGATAATCATCATCTACATTATTCAGTTGAGAAAACCAAGGTTCAGAGAGGTTCAGCAACCTGTTCAAACCACACAGCTAATAAATAGCAAATTCTGGGCTAAAACCCAGATATTTCAATCTAAGCCTGGACTACTACAGGCAGATAAAGCTCGAGAAGTACACTGGAGTGAGAATACTGAAGTCCAGCTAAGGAATTTAGACTTCAGTATTTATTTTGTAAGTGACAGAAAATTACTCAAGATTATGAGGAAGGAAATGTCATGAGTCTTCTGGGTTCTCTCAACTCAAGTCTCAGTGCCTTACCTTTTTCTTTATTATGCTCATCCTTATCTATATTCTTTCCATAAACCTATCCTTTCATTCATTTATACTCTTCCATCTTATGAGGAAACTTCTCTTATTAACTCCACTTAATAAATCAGGAAAAGGAGGTACAGAGAAGTAAAGGAGTTTTCCCAGGGTCAAAGCCAAGGAGAGACAGGATTAGAACTCAGGTCTCTCTGGACTCACTCAATCACAGAGCATAATTCCGTGCATCTATGTACATAAATATGTATGGTAATAAGTATTTGAATATATAAACCCATATAAATTTCAGCTTACTGTAAACCCCACTGTCAAAAAAATTTTCAAAACACTATATATTTCAGGTAGGGAATATCCAAAATGCAACGATGACCTATAACAGGAAAATAGCAAAACAAAGGAATACAAACAACTGTTGGAATCACCAAGCTGAAGTCTTGGGATGCAAAAGATTATTGAACTCTTTCACAAATATCTAAAAAGGAGTGCCTCTGTATTGATACTGACTCGTCATCATTTTTCTCAGCTAATATCATTGCTGCACAGAATATCA